AGGATTATAGTGAAGAGCCACTGGCATCCAGCAGACATTATTCTTTTCTGCATTAATAAAGGTGGGTCATTTCCATCCCTGCATTCAGACACCAAAGAAAGGGTAAGAGCAAAAGTCTACAGCAAGAGCTCATTGCAAGTTAGAGACACCTAGAAAGTTGCTTTGATAGTTGGCTTCTGCCTACTTTCAATAGGCTCAGTATCAGAGTCTGGGAATGGGAGCCTTTGGTTAGGCAGCCAAGTATCCAGGAAGAGGAGAGCAAACAAAACTAGAGTGGTAAATTGAGTAGGCTCAAAGAATGGCCTTATTTTCTAGGACTTAAGCAAAGACTTGGTTTTCCCATGCTATAGCCAAAAGACTTGGTTCTCCCATGTTATAGCTACAGATTAGAAACTAGCTCCAAGTTAGTATAGTAGTCCTTGTTTTATTTATTTATTTATTCATTATTTTTTTGGGTCCGGTCGTGGGGCCTGAACTCTGGGCCTGGGCACTGTCCCTCAGCTCTTCAGCTTAAGGCTAGCGCTCTAACACTTAAGCCACAGCGCCACTTCCGGCTTTTTTCTTTTTGCTTATATGGTGCTGAGGAATCGAACCCAGGGCCTCAGGCATGCAAGGCAAGCGCTCTACCACTGAGCCACTTTCCCAGTCCCTAGTCCTTGTTTTATGGCCCAGCTTGGAGGGGCCAGTTCTACGTTCCCCAACTTCAGCTTTTTAAAGATTTGCATTAAAATATAATATATAATTCAAGTACCAGTGGCTCATGCCTATAATCCTACTTACTCTGGAGGCTGAGATCTAAAGATCACAGTAAGCCAGACCAGCCAGGAACGTTTGTGAGACTCTTAGCTCCAGTTTACCATAGAAAACCAGGAGTGGCGCTGTGGATCAAGTGATAGAGTGCTTGTCTTGAGCTCAAGAGCTCAGGAACAGAGCCCAGGCCCAGAGTTCAAGCCCCACAACTGGAAAAAAAAAGTGTGTGTGTGTGTGTGTGTGTGTGTGTGTGTAGCACATACATAACATATGCTGGATGCTGGTGGCTCACACCTGTAATTCTACCTACTCAGGAGGCTGACATCTGAGGATTATGTTTCAAAGCCAGCCCAGACAGAAAGTCCCATGAGACTCTTATCTCCAATTAATCACAGAAAAAGCTGGAAGTGGCACTGTAGTTCAAGTACTACCCTTGAGCAAAAGGAGCTCAGAGACAGTGCTCAGGCCCAGATTTCAAGCCCTAGGACCCATAAAAATAAATATATATACATATATATGTATATTTATATGCATATATTTATATATATGATCAGGCATATATATATGATCAGGCATTCACACCTATCATCCTAGCTACTCAGGAGGTTGAGATCTGAGGATCACAGTTTGAAGCCAGCCCAAGCAGAAAAATCTGCAATACTCTTTTTTTTTTTTTTTTTTTGGCCAGTATTGGGGCTTTAACTCAGGGCCTGGGCACTGTCCCTGAGCTTTTTTTGCTCAAGGCTAGCACTCTACCACTTGAGTCATGGTGCCATTTCTGGGCTTTTCTGTTTATGTGGTGCTGAGGAATGGCACCCAGGGCTTCATGCATGTTAGGCAAGCACTCTACCACTAATCCACATTCCCAGCCCTGCAATAAATACTCTTACCTCCAATTAACTAGCAAAAATGTAGTAGAAGTTGAGTCTGGCTTAAGTTGTAGAGTGCCAATCATTAGTGAAACAGCCAAGAGAGGGCTCAAGACCCTGAATTAAAGCTCCAGTACCAGCACTTACACACACATAAGTATATATATCCAGTACACACACACACACACACACGGTGTGCAGGGGGACCTAGGAGGGAGCAACACAGTGTGCAGAGTCCTTAGTGGAGGGAGGGGGATTTCATTTAACTCATGCTTCTGAGTGGAAACCTGCACATGAATTGGCACTTTGTCCTGTTGAGACCCAAACTGCTTTAGGAAAAAATAATGCTGGTTAGTTTCAGTTACTGTTTCACAGAAGATAGGTTTTCTATTCCTTGCAGTCTTCCTCCTCCTCCTCCTCCTCCTCCTCCTCCTCCTCCTCCTCCTCCTCCTCCTCCTCCTCTCCCCCCCCCCCAGGGCCTCATGCATGCAAGGCAAGCGCTCTACCACTGAGCCACCTTCCCAGCCCCCCCCCTCCTCCTCCTCCTCCTCCTCCTCCTCTTCCTCCTCCTCCTCCTCCTCCTCCTCCTCCTCCTCCTCCTCCTCCTCCTCCTCCTCCTTCCAAGACAGTCTTCTTCTAACATGACAGAAAGCAGGGTCTTCAGGGAAGAAGGATGATGAAATAGATGCTGCAAACACATCTTGGGTCAGATTCCCTAGAAGCCAAGTAGAAAATAGGGTCATGAGCAAATGCTACACTGAGGGAATGCTCACAGGAAGTCTTATGAGAAAGGTGGGGAAGGATGGGCCAGGAGGTAAATCTAAACACGGATGTGACTTTGTTTTGTTTTGTTTTGTTTTTTGTGTCCAGTCATGGGGCCTGAATCTGGGCCTGGGCACTGTCCCTCAGCTCTTGAGCTCAAGGCTAGCACTCTACCAACCACTTGAGCCACAGCGCCACTTCCGGCTTTTTTTTCTGATTATGTGGTGCTGAGGAATCGAACCCAGGGCCTCATGCATGCAAGGCAAGCACTCTACCACTGAGCCACCTTCCCAGCCCATGGATGTGACTTTGGGTGAAGTCACATCCTGATCCCATGGCCAGTGGTGAAGTAAAACTGGTCACATTGCAAGCTGGGCACCGGTGGCTCATGCTTGTAATCCTAGCTACTCAGGTGGCTGAGATCTTAGGATCAGGGTTTACAGCCAGCCCAGGCAAGAACATTTGTGAGACTCATCTCCAATTAACTACTAGACAACTGAAAGTGACACTGTGGCTCAAAGTGGTAGAGCACTACAAAAAAAGTTCAAGGACAGTGCCCAGGTCCTGAATTCAAGCCCCACAACTGACAAAAAAGAAAAAAAGAAAGAAAAAGGCCACAATCTGTGTGCCTGGATCAAGGGAACTGAGCTATCAGACCCTGCAACCAACCACGAGCTTTGGCTTTGACTCCCTAGATGTATATGTATATGCAGGTTTGTCAGGAAGGGGGGAGGTAAAAAATCTTGGCAGCTCCCATTGCCCAAGGGCAAATGCAGAATAAAGTTGCACGTGTGACTCCTGGGCAACAGCAGCTGCAGCGGCTGGGGAAACTAAAAGAGATCCGGAAGGATCTGCTTCAGGAGATGACTGGTGCTTTCTTTGATTTACAACACTTAAAGTCTAATTTACAAACACACTGATGAGAAGGTAGGCTGAACTGTTACGTACCTCTGGACCAGAATGTGGCTGAAAACAGAGCGATTAGAACTCTCTTCCATTGCTGACTCAAAGGACAAGCTATTTGGCTGTGACGACTAGCTAAATTAAACATATGAAGACCCTGTGATAAAACAATTCCACTCCTGAAAATATACCTGATAAAAATGAATAAAAATGAATACTTACAACTATCAATAGACATGTAAGACATTCCTGGGCATGGTAATGCATGTCTATAGTTCTAGGACTTAGAAGGCAGAAGCAAAAAGATCGCACACTCTAAGCCAACCTGTGTTATATAGAAAGTGACTATGTTTAAAAACAAACAAACAAACAAACAAAAAACACCGTGCGCATTGGTGGTTCGTGCCTGTCATCGTAGCTACTCAGGAGGTTTAGATCTGAGGATAGTGGTTTAAAACCAGCCCAGGCAGAAAAATCCCTATGAGACTCTTGTCTCCAATTAATCACCCAAAAAACAAATTGGCACTGTGGCTTGAGTGGTAGAGCACTAGCCTTGAGCATAAGGAGACTCAAGGACAATGCCGGGGCCGAGTTAGAGCCCCAGGACTAGCCAAAAAAGAAAAAAAGATACATAATGTCAGTAGGAGAAAAAAAAAAACTGCTGAAACTGAATAGCAAATAACAAAGAATCATCTGATACAAAGAAGCCAGTACCCAATGGTGACAAATCTGTATAATAGAAAACAGGTAAGTTGTTAAAAGTTTGAGGTTGAAGGAGGGTGTGACTGTAGAGAGTCCAAAGGGGATTTAAGGATAATGGAATTATCTGATGGTAGTACAGATTACATAACTCTACACAGGTGTTAGATTTATAGACATTACAACAGAAAAGTCAACAAAATAAAATGTATTTTTTATTTATTTTTTTCTTAGTGCTGGACCTGGGGCTTGAACTCAGGACCTAGGTTCTATACCTAAGCTTTTTTTTTTTTTTTGGTGCCAGATAAAAACCTAGCATGCATGAAGTCCTGGGTTCAATTCTTCAATATCACATAAACAGAAAAAGCCAGAAGTGGCCTGTGGTTCAAGTGGTAGAGTACTAGCCTTGAACACAAAGAGGCTCAGGCCCTTAGTTCAAGCCCCAGGACTGGCCCCCCCCCAAAAAAATTATTGAAAAAAAAAAAAGATATGAATAAGTATGCTCATAACAGGACTGGGTATATTACTTGAGTGGCAAACCAACTACTTAGCAAGGGTGAGGCCCTGAGTTCAAACCCCTGAGTTCAGAGCCAGGCACTAGTGGCTTACCACTGTAATCCTAGCTACTCAGGAAGCTGAGATCTGAGGATTGCAGTTCAAAGCCAGCCCTGGCAGGAAAGTCTGTGAGACTCTTATCTCCAATTAACCACCAAAAAACCGGAAGTGGTGCCGTGACTCAAATAGTAGAGCAATTGCTGGCTTTGAGTTGAAGAGCTCAGGGGTCAGTGCTCAGGGCCAAAGTGCAAGCCTCATAACCAACAATAACAACAAAAAAATGGTCAGAGCAAAAAAAAAAAAAAAATGGTCAGAGCATATTAATTTATGCCAGCCTAAACTGGGAACCTTTCAAAGATCCGTTGCTAAGGAAAACAGAACATGCAATACTGAGAACATGCCAAGATTACTGGTATATGCTAGAACATAAGTGAATATCATAGACAAAAATATAGACTAAGAAGCACTTGTGTCTGTGTGTTTGTTTAATTTGTAGCAAAGCCTTACAGACAGGTGCAAACAGTAAATCTTCTTTTGCAGCTTTGAACTCATTGTTGAATATGAGGTTTTTGGTACATATTGGAAGTAATATGATTCCTACAATACTTGGCAATAATGAAGGTTTGTTAACTCATGCATGTTGGCTCTGAGAATAAAGTTGTTGTAAAAGCTTAAAAAATTAACTAGGCTGGCAATGTGGCTTAGTGGTAGAGTGCTCACCTAGCACCCATGAAGCCCTGGTTGAATTCCTCAGTAACACATAAACAGAAAAAGCTGCAAGTGGCGCTGTGGCTCAAGTGGTAGAGTGGTAGCCTTGAGCAAAAGAAGCTCAAGGACAGTGACCAGGCCCTGAGTTCAAGCCCCAAGACTGGTAAAAAAAAAAAAAAAAAAAAAATTAACCAAAGCAAAGCAGTAAGATGTGCCCTCTCCATGCCCCCCCCACCACAAAAAACCCTCATAATGTATGATTTTATTTATATAATGGTCAAACCAGGCTTGTGGCTGAAAGGAAAAATACAAGAACTTTCTAGGGAGCTAGAAATACAGTCTATGGTGACCTACTGGTGGCTCCCTGAATGTTTTCAGTTGCCAGACTTCATTGAGCTATACACGTTAAGACTTTCACTTGTATAAACAATATACCCATGTTTTAAATGAGATCCCTGGGTTATTAGTTACTTGACAGTAGACTCCTTATCTCAACTAGACAGACAGGGCACTGTGCGAGGCTCTGGGAACCCACAGAAACAAAGACATAGTATCTGCCTTTGATCAATATTTGTTGTTGATAATATTTGGAATGCACCAAATTCATGATTAAGCTTTGTTCTGAGAAAAAAAAATGACCATTTTTCTCAAGAGCAAAAGGGTCTTTAAAAAGGACCTGTACCACCAACCATAAGACTGAGAGAGCCTTACTTCAGACTTTTGTTGTTGTTTTTTCAGTCTTGGGACTTGAACTCAGGGCCTGGCCACTGTCCCTGAGGCTCTTTATGCTCAAAGCTGGCACTCTACCACTTGAGCCACAGTACCACTTTCAGGGTTTTTTTTTAGTAGTTTATTGGAGATAAGAATCTCACAGACTTTCCTTCCTGGACTAGCTTTGAACTGTGATCCTGAGATCTCAACCTCCTGAGAAGATAGGACTACAGGCATGAGCCACCTACACATGGCACTTCAGACTTCTTCTAAAGGGAATACTTGCTTATAAACTGAGAAATGTATGGATCAGAACTCATCAGGGTGACCAGAAGAGTAGGGAGTTTTTGTGTGTCCTTGAACCAATCAACTTTCTGAGGGAGAAGGAGTAAGGTATATTGCTCCTTCTTTTTGTTTCCATATGAATCTGACTTACATTTGTTCTTTCACTTTCATATTCCTTGTAGAGTTTCCAAATAAAATTGAAATGTATTTCTTTCTTTCTTTCTTTTCCAGTCCTGGGGCTTGAACTCAGGGCTTGGGCTCTGTCCCTGACCCTCTTGTTCTCAAGGTTAGTGCTCTACCACTTGAGCCACAATGCCACTTCTAGCTTTTCCTGAGTAGTTTATTGGAGCTAAGAGTCTCACAAATTTCCTGCCTGAGCTTGGCTTCAAAATATGATTCAGCTTCCAGAAGTGGAGCTGTGGCTCAAAGTGGTAGAGCAATAGCTTTGAGCAAAAGAGCTCAGGGATGGTGCCCACACCCTGAGTTCAAACCCCACAACCCAAAAACAAAAACAAAACAAAACAAATAAAATGTGAGAGTCCTTGATTTAAGTTACATAAATCAATAAATGTAATATACCACATCAACAAAGACAAGAACCACATGATCATCTCAAAGATGCAGAAAAAGCCTTTGACAAAATCCAACATCCATTCATGTTAAAAGTTTTGGAGAAGCTAGGAATAAGAAGGCATGTTCCTTAAAATAATGAAGGCTATATATGTCAGACCAATAGCCAATATACTGAATGGTGGAAAAACTAAAACTAAAACCATTTCACCTAAAAATCATGAAAAAGGTAAGAATGTCCACTCTCTCCACTCCTCTTCAATATAGTTCTGGAATTCCTAGCCAGGGCAATAAGGCAAGAAAAGTACATAAAAGGAATTCATATAGGGAAAGAAGTCAAACTATCCCTATTGCAGATGACATGATTTTTTTTATATATATTTTATTTGTGAACATACTGTACAGAGGGGTTACAATTACATGGGCAGGATAATGCGTACATTTCTTACCAAGCATTGCAGCCTCCTCCTTTGTTTACCCTTCACATCCCTTCCCAGCCTCCCCCCTCCCCCCCCCACAGAGGTTGTAAAGCTCGTTTTGGACATGACAACTTGTACTTCTCATTGTTGCAACAGGTCCACCTGTATCCTTAAACGACTTGTTGATGACATGATCTTATACCTAAAGCACCCAAAAGATTCCAACCCCAAGCCCCTAGAATAGATCAATCACTTTGGCAAACTAGCAGGGTACCCCACAAATGTGTAGCAGGATAAATCCACAAAGTCAATAGCCTTTCTGTATGCCAACAAGGTACAAGAAGAGAGGGAAGTAGGGAAAACAATTCCATTTGCAATAGTCTCAAAAAACAAAACAAAGCAAGCAAACAAACAAAAAACCACGAATAAACCTTCCCAAAGATGTAAGAGATCTTTATAGTGAAAATTATTTAAAAAAATTCAAAAAAATAAATAAAATAAATAAAAATTTGAAGAAAGAAATCAAAGAAGTTACCAGGAAATGGAAAAGACCCTTTGAGTTCATGGATAGATAGAATTAACATTGTGAAAATGGCTATGATTCCAAAAATGATAAACAGTGCAATTGTCATCAAAATCCCAATGATATACTTTTTTTTTTTCTTTTTTTTATTGGTCATGGGGCTTGAACTCTGGGCTTGGGCACTGTCTGTGTGCTCTTCAGCTCAAGGCAAGTGCTCCACTGCTTGAGCCACAGCACCACTTCCAGTTTTCTAGTGATTTATTGGAGATTAGAGTCTCACAGAGTTTCCTGCCCAGGGCTGGCTTTGAACCATGATCCTCAGATCTCAGCCTCCTGAGTAGATAGGATTACAGGTGTGAGCCACCAGCGCCCAGCTTTTCCAATGATATACTTTACAAGGATAGAGAAAATGATCCAAAAATTCCTATGAAACAAAAGGCCTTGAATAGCCAAAGCAATTCTAGTCAAAAAAAAAAAAAAAAAAGTAACGGGGATGGTATCACAATATACCACACCTCAAGCACTACAGAGCTACAATAACAAAAACAGCCTGTCCATGTGGCTCAGTCCTGTAATCCTAGCTACTCATGTGGCTGAGATCTGAGGATCATGGTTCAAAGCCAGCCCAGGCAGTAAAGTCCATGAGACTCTTACCTCCAATCAATCACCAGAAAACCACAAGTGGTACTGTGGCTGAAGTGGTAGAGTGCTCGTCTTGAGCTGAAGAGCTGAGGGACAGCGCCCAGGCCCAGAGTTCAAGCCCCACAACCCACAAATAAAAACAAAAACAAAAACTAGAAGTGAATCTGTGACTCAAAGTAGTACAGCACTAGCTTTGAGCTAAAAAGTTCAGATTCAGTGTCCAGGTCCAGAGTTCAAGCCCCATGACTGACCAAAAAAAAAAAAAAAAAGGCCTGGACTTTTGCACAAAAATAGACCTGAAGGGGCTGGGAAGGTGGCTCAGTGGTAGAGCACTTGCCTTGCATGCCTGAGGCCCTGGGTTCGATTCCTCAGCACCACATAAGCAAAAAAGAAAAAAGCCAGAACTGGCACTGTGGCTCAAGTGGTAGAGTGTTAGCCTTGAGCTGAAGAGCTGAGGGACAGCACCAGGGCCCAGAGTTCAAGCCCCATGACAGACTCCCCCCAAAAAAATACATCAGGGCTGGGAAGGTGGCTCAGTGGTAGAGCGCTTGCCTTGCATGCCTGAGGCCTTGGGTTTGATTCCTCAGCACCACATAAGCAAAAAAGAAAAAAGCCAGAAGTGGCACTGTGGCTCAAGTGGTAGAGCGCTAGCCTTGAGCTGAAGAGCTGAGGGACAGTGCCCAGGCCCAGAGTTCAGGCTCCACAACTGGACTCAAAAAAATAATAATAATTGGTGTTCCGAAAATGGGACATCCATATACAGAAAACTACAAGTGGATTTCTGTCACTATGTACTAATGGATTGAAGACCTCAATGTCGGACCCCAAAACCTTGAAATTACTGCAAGAGGGCATATGAGAAACACTAGAACTTATAGGTATTGTTAGAAACTCTTTGAAAAGAGTTGCAGGGGAACACTGTCAGGAGAGAAACTTGACAAGTGGGACTACATCAAAATAAAAAGTTTCTGCAGAACGAAGGATATAGTTACTAAACTAGAAAGACAGCCAACAGACTTGGAGAAAATCTTTACCAGCAACATATCAGACAAAGGCCTAATATCCAAAATATACAAATAGCTCAAGAAACTAACCCTTCCCAAATGCAATAAACCAATCACTAAATGGGCATAGGAGCTAAGGAGAGACTTCTCAGAAAAAGTAAGAATGGCAAGGAGATACATGAGGAAATGCTCCTTATCCCTGGCCATCAAGGAAATGTAAATCAAAACAAATCTAAGATACCACTTCACACTAGTTAGAATGGCCAACATTATAAATTTGAACAACAACAACTGTTGGCAAGGACATGAGGAAAAAGGAACTCTACTGCACTGTTGGTGGAATTGTAAACTAGTGTAATCATTCTGGACAACAGGATGGAGGTACCTCAAAAAACTAAACATAGACCTTCCCTACAATCCGCAATACCACTTCCAGGTATCTACTAAGAACATTATGAGCTAGGATATCATAAAGACACCTGCACATCTGTGTTCATTGCTGCACTATTCACATTGGGCAAGATATGGAAACAGCTGGGGCTGGGAAGGTGGCTCAGCGGTAGAGCGCTTGCCTGGCATGCATGAGGCCCTGGGTTCGATTCCCCAGCACCACATAAGCAAAAAGAAAAAAAGCCGGAAGTGGCGCTGTGGCTCAAGTGGTAGAGTGCTAGCCTTGAGCTGAAGAGCTGAGGGACAGCGCCCAGGCCCAGAGTTCAGGCCCCACGACTGGA